GAGGGAGGGAGGGAGGGAGGGAGGGAGGGGAGGAAAATCACTGGTGTACAGATAGGAAACAACCTTAGCCTTGTGCCTCAGAGGGGATAGTCAAGTGACTTGGGACGCGCGGCTCAGGGAGTGGAGTGCTTGCCTAGGACACAAAGTCCTGAGTTTGATCCCTACCCTAGCAGAAACAAAACTACGTGAACTCCATGCTGGTGTTTGGTGTTGGACTTGCTTTTGGGACCACCAGCCCCCAAATAATGAGTTGGAGACTTCTTATTAATTATGAAAGCTTGATCTTAGCTTTGGCTTGTCCCACCAGCTCTGATAACTTAAATTAACCTGCTCCTATTGATCTACATTCTTCCACTCTGTAAGTCCATCTCCCTATGCGGCTAGATGGCATTTCCCTTGTGTGCCTAGATTTAACCCCAGTTCCTCTCTCTGCCTGGAAGTCCTGCCTAACCTCTCCTGCCTAGGTATTGACCATTCAGCTCTTTATTAAACCAATCAGGTGCCTTACACAGGCAAGGGAAGACATCGGCACATCTTCACAATTTGCTCAAATATTCCCAACAGGTGTTTCCAGGCATCTTTTATCTTGGGAAAAAATGAGTAGGTAGTGACAGTAGTTGCTTCCTCCTAGGAGGGAAATGACTGGCCTAAGGTAGGGAATCTTCCATGTCTCTGCTCCTTCCTTCTTTCTGTTTTGTTTTAAGACTGGGTTTTAGCTACAGTACTGAAAACAGCCTGGTACTGGCATAAGAACAGACAGGAGGACCAATGGAACCGAATAGAAGACCCGGATATCAATCTACACATCTTCAAACACCTGATCTTTGATAAAGAAGTAAAAAATATCAAATGGAAAAAAGAAAGCATATTTAACAAATGGTGCTGGCATAACTGGATATCAACATGTAGAAAAATGAGAATAGACCCATATTTATCACCATGCACAAAACTCAAGTCCAAATGGATCAAAGACCTCAACATAAAGCCAGCCACACTGAACCCCATAGAAGAGAAAGTGGGAAGTACACTTGAACGCATTGGCACAGGGAACCACTTCCTAAATATAACCCCAGCAGCGCAGACACTGAGAGAAACAATTAATAAATGGGACCTCCTGAAACTGAAAACCTTCTGTAAAGCAAAGGACACGGTCAACCAGACAAAACGAAAGCCTACAGAATGGGAAAAGATCTTCACCAACCCCACATCAGACAGAGGTCTGATCTCCAAAATATACAAAGAACTCAAGAAATTGGACACCAAAAGATCACATAATCCAATTTAAAAATTGGAGTACAGACCTAAACAGAGAACTCTCAACAGAGGAATCTAAAATGGCTGAAAGACACTTAAGTAAATGTTCAACATCCTTAGTCATCAGAGAAATGCAAATCGAAACAACTCTGAGATTCCATCTTACACCTGTAAGAATGGCCAAGATCAAAAACACTGATGACAACCTATGCTGGGGAGGATGTGGGGTAAAGGGAACACTCCTGCATTGCTGGTGGGAATGCAAATTGGTACAACCCATTTGGATGTCAGTGTGGTGATTTCTCAGAAAATTAGGGAACAACCTTCCTCAAGACCCAGTAATACCACTTTTAGGTATATATCCAAAGGATGCTCAATCGTGCCACAAGGACATGTGCTCAACTATGTTCATAGCAGCTTTGTTTATCATAGCCAGAACCTGGAAACAACCTAAATGTCCCTTGATCGAAGAATGGATAAGAAAAATGTGGTACATTTACACAATAGAGTACTACACAGCAGAAAAAAAAAATAGTGAAATCTTAAATTTTGCAGGAAAATGGATGGGGCTAGAAAATATTATATTGAGTGAGGTAACCCAGACACAGAAAGACAATTATCACATGTACTCACTCATAGGTGGTTTTTAAACATAAAGCAAGGAAAATCAGCCTACAAACCACAATCCCAGAGAACTTAGACAACAGTGCAGACACTGAGAGACTGACATAGACATAATCTACATGGGATGTAGAAAGTAGAAAAAGACAAGATCTCCTGAGTAAATTGGGAGCATGGGGACCTTGGGGGAGAATTGAAGGAGGGAGGGGAGAGGCAGGGATGGGAGCAGAGAAAAATGTAGAGCTCAATAACTATCAATCAAAAAAAAAAAAAAAGGCGCGATTGGCTGTTGGCAGCGTTGCGGCTGAGCTCGTGGGCGGCGGCGGCGGTGGTGGTGTTAGCCGCAGCTGCACAAAGCTTCTGATGAGATGTCTCACACCATTTTGCTGTTACAGCCTACCACGAGGCCAGAAGGCAGGACTTATGCAGACTATGAGTCTGTGAATAAGTGCATGGAAGGTGTTTGTAACATATATGAAGAACATCTTAAAAGAATGAATCCCAACAGCCCCTCCATCACATACGGTATCAGTCAATTGTTTGATTTTATTGATGATCTGGCAGATCTCTGCTGTCTTGTTTACCGAGCTGATACACAGACGTACCAGCCTTATAACAAAGACTGGATCAAAGAGAAGATCTACGTGCTCCTTCGTCGATAGGTCCAACAAGGTGGGAAGTAGTTGAGTCGGAAGCATTAGGGGCTGGGGGTGGGCATTAGGTGCATACAGCGTGTTGTAGTGAACATTTTGTATAATAGTAATCCTGTTTCCATTTTGTTACGCTAGAGCCAAGAATGAATGTATGACATGGAACATGAATGATCTTTTCATTCAGAAAACCACCATTATTGCCCCTTTACTCTTTTTCTTTTTCTTTTTTTTTTACTTAAACATTTTTATGATAATTCAGAGAGAAAGTGTTCTTTGCCGTTTAAGGTTGGTTCCAGTCCTTGAAACTGTTGGTATCTGCTTTATTAGCAGCGAGTGCACTAACCCCTTGTGGGGGGGTGGGGGGGTGACAAGCTTAGTTATGTCCTCTGGGAAAGTCTTAGTGAAAATAAAGAAATGTTCTATAAAAAAAAAAAAAGACTGGGTTTTATTGTCTCTCCCCAGCCTGAACCTCAGAGATCCACCTGCCTCTGCCTTCCAAGTGTGGGATTAAAGGAGTGCAAGATCATGCCTGGTCTGCCTTTTTTTCACTTTTGGTATCTAATTTGTGCAAGGCCTAGTTACAAAAGCTCCAAGTATTCTAGGGCTGGGGATAGAACTCAGTGATATGCATTTGTTCAGTGTATGTTAGACTACATCCCCAGCCTGTGTCCTGAAACTCTGTGAAGTAGGACCTGACTCGTAATCCATCTGCCTCCCTTCTTAGTGCTGGGATCAAAGGTGTGTGTTACCATACTCAAGGGGTGAGGGTGAGGGGTGAAGGTGAGGATGGGGGTGAGAGTGAGGGTATTTTGAGGAGGGGAGTAGACAGAGTGTGATGGTTTCAATGAGAATGAACCCTGTAGGCTCATATGTTTGCGTGCTTGGTCCTGAGTTAATGGAACTGATTAGGAAGGGTTAGGAGGTGTGGTCTTGTTGGAGGAGGTATGTCACTGAGGGGTGGGCTTGGAAGTTTCAAAAGCCCATGCCAAGCCCAGTCTCTCTCTCTCTCTCTCTCTCTCTCTCTCTCTCTCTCTCTCTCTCT